TCAATTATTTTAAAAAAAGAAAATGAGAATGTAAAAGATGTTAAAAGGATATGGGAATGGACAAATTTTCCAAAATAAGACAGTAAAAATGAGAAAGCCTAAACAAGTGATGAAGGTCTGTTTAGGTTTCTTATGTATATAAAGGATGAGACAAAAAATAATAAACACATAATCTTAAAATGTCTATGGTCATAGTTTAGTCAACTAGTTTAAGGAACAAAATATATATCTAGTCAAGGTTTATCTGAGAATATTTGGTTTTTTACCCAAGCTTATCTACATAGCACATGATAATTAAAAGTACCAGACTGGTGGAGTTCAAGGGATTACACTTCCCAGACACTGGGCTTAAGTCTCTATAGAAAGTTATTTAGACAATTATTTCTCATTGATTTTGTTCCTAACCAGAAAGTGCTGCTCTGATGTAAGACTTCAAGTCTTGGTCTCCAATACTGTAGTGCCCACCTGTAGCTAAGGGAGACAACCAGCTATTGTTCTAAAATGATGGATAAATTTGTTTTCTCCCCCATCTAGAAGCCTTTAAGAGGGAACTGACACTGATTCTAACCACTCCAATGGCTATCAAAATACCTGAAAGCAAATCCAGAATCCATCACTCTACAGTCTACATAGCAAGTTCCAGAACAGATAAGGCTACATAGTGAAACCCTGTCTCAAAAAAAGTAAATGAGGGGCTGGAGAGATGTCTCAGCAGTTAAGAGCACTGCCTGCTCCCAGCACCCACGTGGCAGCCAACAACCAATTGTCTAACTCCAGTTCCAGGGGATCTGACACCCTCTCTGACCTCCATGGGCACTGCACAACATAGATACACATCTACCTACATGCAGGCAATACCTCATACAGAGAAAATAAAACTAATTAACTCCATTTCCAGGGGATCTGATGCTCACTTCTGGTGTCCCCCTCGGGCTTTGGATGACACAGGTGAGGTACACTTACAACACATGCAGGCAACACTCATACACATAAAAATAATCAAAAAATATTTTTTAAGATCTTTATTATTTCTTAATTGTGTGGCTATGTGGATATGTACACATGGGTGCAAGCCCCCACAGAGTCCGCCCAGCCCAGTACATGCTTTTAACCATTGAGTCATCGGTCTAGCCCTCAAGTGCCAAATTTTCAGCAAAAATATTAGAAGATATACAAAAAAAGAAAAAAAAATCATTCAAAGGAAGAAAATACAGAAACAATCCCTAAAGAAACACAGACTTTAAAATCTAAAACAAGGGTCTTAAATGTGCTCAAAGAACTAAAGGACAACAGATAAAGAACAAAGTAATCAGGAAAACACTATGTAAATAAGACTATCCTCACAACAGGAGTTTAACAGCAGCCTTAAATCAGAACCAGAACCATTCTCCTTCTTCAGGGCTAGAGATTAAACCTAAAGTCTCAATCACTTGTGCTACACAGCCATTTTACCACAGATGTACATGCCTAACCCAGAATCAGCAACTGTGAAGACAATTCACTTAAAATTATTGAATCTAAGAAAAAAGGAATGAGCCGGATGTGGTGGTGCAACCCCTTTAGTCCCAGCACTCAGGAGGCAGAGGCTGGCGGATCTCTGTGAATTCAAGGCTATGCTGGTCTACATAGTGAGTTCCAGACTAGCTGGGACTACAGGGAGACCCTTTCTAAAAAAAAAAAAAAAAAAAAAAAAAAGAAAGAAAGAAACAAGGAAGGAAGGGAGGAAGGAGAGAGGAGAAAAAGAAAGAAGGGAAAAAGAAAGGAAAAAAGAAATAAAGATTGATTTTTAAAAAATTATCAAGAGACTGGAGAGATAACTCAACAGTTAAGAGCACTGGCAGCTCTTGCAGAGGACCTAGCACCCAGACAGTGGCGAACCACTGTCTATAACTCCAGCACCAGGGGATACAACATCCTCTTCTGACTTCCTCCAGCATTGCATGCCATGGGTGCACTTACATGCAGGCAATGCACTCACACACATAAAATAAAAACAACAAAATATCTTTTAAAGTATTTTTTATGTAGAATTAGAAAAAGATTATCAGTTAATTTCTCAGCAGAAATCAGTGAAGCATTATATAGACTCCTAAAAGAAAAAAAGACTTTCAACCAAAAATTCAGTATCTAAGAGTTGGAGAGATGACTCAGCAGTTAAGAACACTGGTTGTTCTTGCAGAAGATCCAGGTTTGAATTCCAGCACCCACATGGTAGCTACTACCGTCTATAACTCCAGTTCCAGGGGATCCTATATGCTCTTCTGTCCTCTGAGGGCACTGCACAATAGGGGTGGCACTTACACACATGCAGGCAACAGAGTCATATATATAAAGTAAAAATAAATTTTAAAAATTCAGTATCTAGTAAAATTATCCCTTCAAAATGAAGGTAAAATTAACATTACCAGACAAATAAGCTAAAAGAATTAATTACAACTACACCTTGTATATAAGAAACACAAGACTGTCCTTCAACTTTGAAATAGTAACATAAAATCATGATATAAAGACCTGATACATAAATATAAAAACCAGTATGAGCCTAGGGATGCAGTTCAATAACATGCTTATGTAGCTTGAGGCCCTAGGGTGGATCCCCAACAATAATAAATACAACAATTAAGGGCTGGAGAAATGGATCAAAGGTTAAGAGCACTGTCTGCTCTTGCAGAAAACCACGGTTTGAACCCGAGCACCCACATGGCAGCTGGTAACTCCAGTTCCAAGGGATCTGACAGCCTCCTCTGCCCTCTGAGGGCACTGCAGGACACGGGTGCACTTACCTACATGCAGGTAATTATTTTATCTGTATGCATGTTATGCCTGCACATAGGTAAGTGCGCCCATGTTGTGCAGTGCCTTCGGAGGACAGAGGAGGCTGTCGGATCCCTTGAAACTTGAGTTATAGATGGTTGTAGCCACCAGGTGGGTGCTGGGAATCAAACCCGGGTCTTCTGCAAGAACAACCAGTGTTCTTTACTGCTGAGCCATCTCTCCAGCTCCCCACGAATTTTTTTTTAAAGTAAAACAACAATTATTTAAAAGTCAAGGATGCTAAAGATGTATATCAGTGGGTAGAGTGCTTGCTTAGCATGTAGATAGCCCAGGGCTGGAGTCCCAACACCACATAAAATCAGGGGTGTGATACACGCCTATAATCTCAGCACTTGTGAGGTGAAGGCAGAAGATCAAGAGTTCAAACTCATCCTTTCATACATAGCAAACTGGAGATTAGCCTGGATTACATGAACCCCTGTCTCAAAAGAAAGCAAAAAAAAAAAAAAAAAAAGATCTACTCTGGTATATATACAATGTTTAAAGATATAATTTGTAATAAAATTAAATGGGGAAGGATAACATAGGTGAAAAATACAATTTTTCTGTCACAATCAAATTAGGCTAGACATGCCTAAGGCTCAGGAAGTAGGGCTGGAGGAGCAAGGGCTTGAAGCCTGAGCTATAAGGTGAGTTCAAAGGCCAGCTTGAGCTACGCAATGAGATCCTATCTCCTTAAAAAAAAAAAAATTAGTTGTTATTTAAAAAATAATATAGTTACTGTGACAAACAATATATGAACCTGAAAAATACTAAAAACAGAATTACCAAATGACCTAGCAATTCTACTTCTAAGCATTTATATAAAAGAATTAAAAACAGACACGAGTCAATATTTACATATCCATGTTCATACCAGCAAAATTCAGTGGACAAAACGGTGGCTACAATCCAAACATCCACTGTCACATGAAAGAGCAAATAAAATATTGTACATTATACATGCCATGGAGTATTATTCAGAATTTAAAAGGCATGAAATCTGGTATTCTATAACATAAATGAATCTTGAAAACATGTTGTATAAAATAAGCTAAATGGGGCTGGAGAGAAGGCTCAGTGGTTAAGAGCACTGACTGCTCTTGCAGAGGACTGGGGTTCAATTCCCAGCATCCACATGGCGGCTATGAACCGTCCTTTAACTCCAGTTCCAGGGGAATCCGAAGCCCTCTTCTGTACAACACGGGTGCACTCACATACATGCAGGCAATACACTTGTACACATAAAATAAAAATAAAGTATTTTTTAAAAACTCATTAAAATAAGCTAAACACAAAAGGACAAATATTGTACAATTCTATTTATATGAAGTACAGCAGTATACAAAGTCACAGAGACAAAAAAGTAAAATGGTGGGTGCCAAGGATTGGAAGGAGGGCAATGAGAGTTCATGATTTTTTTTAATTTTTAATTTTTTGGTCTTTTTTAACAGGGTTTCCCTGTAGCCACAGCTGACCTGGAACTCACTATGTAGACCAGGCTGGCCTTGAACTCACAGAGATCCTTGTGCCTCTGCCTCCTGAGTGCTGGGATTAAAGGCGTGCGCCACCACACCCAGCAAAAGTCATGATTTAATGGATGTAGGTTCTGTTTGAAAAGACAGTTCTGGAGGTGTGTAGTGGGGATATTACTGCATACTATCAGATGAAGAGGACAATCACAGAAAGTCATACAGCGCAGGGAGAACTCTGAATTTTAAGTGTGATGAAAAGTCCTAAGAACTGAGAGCAGGGCAAGGATACGATTTACCCTTCAGAAGGATAATTCTGACTGCTTTTCTAGAAAATAAACTGAAGGATAAGTAACATTTTTAAGAATATGACTGATTCCAACTGGAGTGGTACTGACCACACTGTTGAAGACAGAAGGTTTTATCTGAGTATGCTATAGAAACAGTGTACCAGTATACAGTAATACATGATTAATTTTAGCCTTAAAATTTTGCATGTTCTTAGCTTCAGGCTAGTTTTGTAATGTATTTAGGGAAAGGAATACAAGACCCCAACCATCTACATTCACATTTTAACATAAATTTTATAAGCAAAACCAAGTTTGAGTGAGTTAAAGGTAAAAGAAAAAGAATCAGAACTATTTCCGTATTTCCTTATTCCTCCCCTTTCATTCCTTATCACCTAGAAACCTGGTTGCCAATAAGTTCACAGAGTTAGATTTTATTTTCAAAACAGAATTTATTTCTATAGTAAAAAAATTAAAATATGGCTGTGAATGAGAAAATAATATTGAAAAATACTTAAGATGTGCAACAGTAATTTTTAGAGAAAAGTCAGTTAAGCACTAGAGTTTACACTCGACCTCTTAAAAGACCAATGGTGTTTTATATTTTACTAGCTACACCAGAAAAAACAAAAAAATCCCTATTTGTGATTTTAATCATTATATTTCAAAAAGTTTTATCTACTGTCCAAAATCACAAGGTTTTTGCTCAATCATCTTTACAATTGGATAAGCAGAGAATATGTATGTTTGGGTGAAACAAAATGTTCTATTTTTTTTTTAAGTGACATTATATTGGTATTAAAGCTGTCAAACTCATGTACCCCAAATTTGGGTTCTACCAGATAGGTTTCAAATTAAGACAATTAAACACAGCTGAAGAATATCTAATGATTCTGCTCCATCCCTTCCCCAAAGTATCACTTACAGTTAAGATAAAGTATTATTTGTATGCTAAACATACAAAGAATTGGAAGCTATCTGGATAAAGAAGAGAACTCTTCAGGAACTACTGTTTGCAGTTTGCAGAATAGGATCATCTTCTCTAGGAAGAATAATATCAACATAGCAGCACTATATTCACCAAGAATCCCCAGAGCTGAAGGCTGGATCATGTGGCAGGAAACCAAACTTTCTGGCTGCTCACAACATCACTGAGCTTCCCTTTAATCTTCAGGAAGTGTCTCTTGAACTCTAATCCATCACCCTGTATTAAGAATAATATTTTAAAATGTCAAAAAAAGAACTGTCAGAAATTTATATTCTTTAGTGGTAAGTAGAAGAAAACTCCCTTAGACATGTTCAGAGTTACAACATCCCTCAAGTCTTTTTTCCCTCTTGTTCTTTTCTGAGAATACTGGATTACAGGTATACAGCACCACTCCCAGCTTAGCTATTCATTCTATGTAGATTTATGGTGTTTTAACTTCTCTGAACTGAATATTATAACAGTTTACTGGCTCCCTCGCTAATAATTTATTAAACACAAACTTGGATTCCACTCGTGAAGAACAAATATTTTGGTGGAGGAAATGGCTACATAAATAATTCTGACATGATTTTGGGCTCTTCACTTTCTTACCACACTGAGCAAAGAATGCAAAACAAACAAACAAACAAACAAACAAACAAACAAACGCCATCCTTTCTGTTTTATGGGTTAGAATCTCTGAAACCTACATCGTTGTTTTCCATAAGCATCAGAGTTTGTGAATAAAAACAAGCAACATTGAAGCCACAAATCCATCAACAAAGTCAGTAAACTCAGTTATGAACAAGATAGTAACAATCTTTATAACTTAATTACATACCCAGCACCTAGAAAACAATATTGCACCGAACCTGCAATATGAACTACCCTTCAACCTCTTCTAAACCCACATACAATCTCTCAGGAAATAGACATTATACTGGTTTGGTCTTACATGTAATGGGTTTTAAAACTAACTGGTGAACAAAAATCTATATATAAATATATTAATTTAATATTCTACAAAAAATAAAAAGCAAAAAAAAAATTTCCCCTTTGAGACAGAGTCCCATATAGCCCAAGATGGCCTCAAACTAGCTATATAGCCAAGGATAGCACTGAATTTCTGATCCTCCTGCCTACTGAGTACTGGGATTACAGGTATACATCACCATATTCACTTTAATTGGGTGCTAGGGATCCATCCAATCCAGAGCCTTGAGCATGCTAAGCAAGCACTCCGCTAATTATACATTTCCAGTCCCTCAAATATTTTATACTAAGGAAAATGTCAGGAAGAAAAAATATATTTTAGAAAAGTAATAACTAGTCAGTTTCAACATTAAACAAAAAAAGTAAGTTACCATCTATTTACAAATGCTTAATATGTAATCACCCAATATTCATGGAGATATGTTCCAAAACCTTCTGTGATATCTGAAACTACACACAGTATGGAATTTTATACTATATATGCCATTTGCATTCCTAAATGTATATAGCTATGATATAGCTCTATCTGTAAATCTTGCATAAGAGATTAATACAACAAGTAGTAAAATAGAACAAATGCAACAATATACTAAATAAAATTGCCAGCATCATTTCCTTACACTTTGGGGGCCCTTATTAAAGTAATTATTACATAAAAAGCATTTATGATACTGTGGCAGTAAATATGAAAACCAAAATAAGCAATACCAAGTAGTATATACAGCATAAACAAAACACCTGCATAAGATATTTACTCTAGGCAAACAAGAAAATATACATCCTGGATGGGAATGGGGTAATAGTAATTCATCACGGTAATCAGAACTATGCTCAATCTAAAACTGTATGAGCTGTTTATCTTTGGAACTTTACACTTAGTATTTTGGATTGAAATTGATCATAGGTAACTAAAACTACAGAAATTAGAAGTGCAGATGGGGGACTGGAGAGATGGCTCAGTGGTTAAGAGCACTGGCTGCTCTTGTGAAGGACCCAGGTTCTGTTCCTAGCATCCACATGGAGACTAACGATTCTTAACTCCAGTTTCAGGGCATCTGACACCCTCTTCTGGCCTCCATGAGTACTGCAAGCATGGTTGCACTTACATGCACACATAACACACATACACTACAGATAAAATGAATTAAAAATTTTTTTTTTTAAAAAAGCACAGATCGGGGGATGGAGAAATGGCTCAGAGATTAAGAGCACTGAATGCTCTTGCAGAGAACCCAAGTTCAATTCTCAGCACCCACATGGTGGCTAACAACCATTTGTAACTCCAGGTCCGGGGAAATCTGGTGCCTTCTTCTGACCTTCATGGGCATTGCACGACACGTGTGCACTTACACACATGCAGGCAACACTTATAAAATGAAAATAATAATTGAAGGGCTGGAGAGATGGCTCAGCGGTTAAGAGCACTGACTGCTCCTACAGAGGACCCGGGTTCGATTCCCAGCACCCACATGGCAGCTATGAACCGTCCTTAACTCCAGTTCCAGGGGACTCCAACGCCCTCTTGCTGACCTCCACAGCACTGCATGACATGGGTGCACTCACATACATGCAGGCAATACATTCATACACATAAAATAAAAATAATAAATAAAATATATTAAATAAATTTTTTTTTTTTAAAGTGCAGATGGACTACTGCACACAAATATAACACCATCTGAAAAATTCACACAGAGGGCTGGAGAGATAGCTCAGCAGTTAAAAGCACTGGCTGCTCTTTTGGAGGACCCAGGTTTGGTCCCCAGGACCCAGACAGCAGCTAACAACCATCTGTAACTCCAGTTCCAAAGGAAGTGACATTCTTTTCTGGCTTCTGTGGGCATTGCACACATATTTTGTACTTATATACATGCAGGCAAAACATTTGTATAGACAAAATAAAATCTTAAAATATTTCCATAGAAAAAAATACCTTAGAAAGCCGGAAGTCAACCAGTATCTTCTCATCCATTTCTACCAAATTTATTTTGAAAATCAACTTATTGTTTCTTCTATCAGTTGTTGATACAGTAACCTAAGGAAACAAATAAGGTTAAGCCACATATGCACATGAATAAAAAATACTCAGCAAAAACTATATTCAAAGGTCAGTAATACTTTTGGAATTAAAATTTATAAGATTCTTGCAGAACAGGAATGGTATCAAGAATGTTGTAAAATCAGCATGCATAAGATCTGCAGTAGGGACTGGACAGATACTAGCTCGGTGGTTGAGAACACTGAATGTTCTTGCAGAAGACCAGGGTTCGAATCCCAGCACTCATATGGCAGCTAACAACTGTCTGTAACTCCAGTTCCAGGGGATCCAACAGCCTCTTTTTTCTTCCGTGGGCATTGCACAACATGGATGCACTTACCTACATGCAGGCAATACATGCATACACATAAAATAAAAAAATATATAAATATTTAAAAAAAAAAAAAAAAAAAAAAAAAAGACCTGCAGCAAATCCAAGCCAGACAGGGGCCAGCACGGATGGGGACATGGGCAGGACATGGGCAGGAACACCCTGCTCTAGCTGAGGATCTATTGGCAACTGATAGATGCTGAGAGAGGGAGAGACAGCTTTTCATGCTGGTATGCTGCCTGTTTGACCAGATTAGAAGAGATAGACCCACACCCAAGAACATTTAGATTGGGCTAGACTTAGACTAGATTAGGTCTTTAAAAAAAAATGAAAACATAGTAACAAAGAAAAGGACATACAAGTAATAAGGGGGATGGGGGATGGGGAGGAGACAGGATTCTGAACATGATCAAAATACATTGTATGAAATTCTCAAATCAACAAAAAAAAAAAATTTTTAACATTTTTTTTAGGAATAAGGTGGATAATCTCTAAAGCTCAGTGGTTAAAAGTTATATGCTGCTCTTCCAGAGGACATGAATTTGGTTCTAAGCACCCATAATGGGCAGCTCACAACCCACCAGAGGATCCAATGCCCACTTCTCACCTCTGTAGATGCCCACATGAGCATGCACACAACACACAACACACAACACACAACACACACACACACACACACACACACACACACACCCACATGTAAATAAAAACAAGTATTAAAAAAAAATGCTGTAAATCTCACTCATCCCAGTGGGCATGTTTGTGTCCAACCTAAACCAACCTGTAAATAGGACTTAAGTCTACATAAACTTTTAGTAACAGAAGAAAATATTTGTGGCTATATTTGTGGCTGAAAAGCTGGAACAGCAATGAGAAGACAGTGGAGGTCTGGAGACATCTTAAAACTTCCATTTTTGGTCCTCTCCAACCCCACTCCACCCCCACACACACTTTTTGCTTTTTAAAATGTTCTTATGGCCAGTAAAGCAGCTCAGGTTAGATGACTAATATGAAAAGAAAAGCCTAGCAAGAACTGTACCAAGACCACACACATAGAGGCAAGGACATCTTAAGCCATGTGGCCACTACAGATGGATGAATGAGTCCAAGCAAGACTGGCAAATTTGCCAGGCTAAGCCAAGGCCAAATTACAAAAATATTTGTGCAAAAACAACCACACACCCTTCATCTTTCTTACCTCCTTAGATATGTGTTCACTTGTTTTAATATAATTGTTTGTCTTTTTCTAAATGTTCTTTTCTTTTGGTTTAGTGTCTTGTTTGTTTTTGAGGCAGGGTCTTGTAATGTAGCCCTGGCTGTCCTGAAACTTGTTATATAAATCAGACTGACCTCCACTTTTTCTAAATTTTTAAAGTAATTTTCAGACAGAATTTCAATTTTTGACTATTTTTGAAAGGAGGTCCTATGTAGTCCAAGCTGGCTTCAAACTGACTATGTAGCCAAGGATAACCTTAAACCTTTCTCTAAAGAAAAAAAAAAAATTATTTTATGTGTATGAGTGTATTACTTGCATATATGTAAGTGCACCTATGCAATGCTCACAAAGGTCAGGAGAGCACTGAATCCCCTGGAACTTGAGCTATGGATGATTATAAACCACTATGTGACTTCTGGGATTGAACCCTGGTCCTCTGCAAAAGCAGTCAGTGCTCTTAACTGCTGAGTGCCAACCCTGACCTTATCTTCCTGCTTCCATCTTTTTAATATCTTTTTATTTATTTTTATTTTATGTGTATGCGTGTACTGCCTGCATGTGTGTAAGGGCACCCATGTCATGGAATGCCCACAGAGGACAGAAGGTATTGGATCCCCAGAGCTATAGAGAGTTGTTAGACACCATGTGGGTGCTGGGAATTGAACCTGAGTTCTTGGCAAGAGCAGTCAGTCCTCTTAATCACTGAGCCATCTCTCCAGTTCCCTTGCTTCCATCTTTTCAGGGCAGGATTATAACTATGTGCCACTATGCCTGGCTTACGTGATGCTTGGATGGAATGCAGGGCTTCATCCATGCTAGGCAAGCACTGAACCCCACTAACCCCATCATTTATTTCAACCTTATTTAAACATTGTTCTTGCATAAGAAATCATCTACAAACTTCAATATTCTCACCATAGTTTAACAATGTACAGTCGATATTCTAATTTCCCCTAATGTTCCAATAACATCCTTTATAAAAGTTTTGTTTCTATGATTTAGTGAAATATTTTACAATCCATTTGGTCATCAGGCCTCTTTTAGTCTCCTTTAATACAAAATACTCTCTATTTTCATGACATAATTTTTTGAAAAGCCTAAAGACAGATTAGAAGGCTAGCGTTATAACTATGCTGCAATTTAAACACTGTAAGTAGGATCAGGGGAGACAGCAAGAATTACATGACTGCTAATTTATTTTATTATAGAAAAAAGGCAATTGCTACTATCTATAATTAAACCATATAGTTTTTACTTAAAACATAATACAAAAATATTAGCCTTAGAGATTTTTCTCTTAAACTAAAGATATCTTAAATGCCTCAATTGTTTCTTTTTCAAATTAATTACTTGGTATTTTTTAAATATACTCATTATTAAATTTTTAAAAAAACGAATAAAACATACCTGATTCATACAACTCTTCTTCCACTGATAGCCCAACTTCTCACAAGTCTCTTTCAGGCACTGATAAGATTTGTCTGCATCCAATTTGGTAAAGAATCGTGTCATTCTTTTGACCAAGCGCTGCCAGGGGTTCTACAGATCAAAGAGGAAAGCTGAATAATCCATTATGACTAGTACTACAGCTATTTAATCTGAAATTCTTTTCTGTGCCTTAGGAATCTTTTCCATAAAGGCATTCTCTAGTTATTTCTTATTTACACAAACAACATGTATCAATTAAAAGTATTAATACTGGTGCTGGAGAGACTGCTCAGCGGTTAAGAACACTGACTGTTCTTGCAGAAGACCTGGGTTCAGACCCCAGCACCCACATGGCAGCTAACAACTGTCCATAACTCCAGTTCCAGGGGATCCGACAGCCTCTTCTGTCCTCTGTGGGCATTGCACGACATGGGTACACTTACCTACATGCAAGGCCATACATGCATACACATAAAACAAAAATAATAAATAAAATATTTTAAAAGTATTAATACTATATACATATTTAGATTTAAGGAATAAAAAGAAAAGGTAACCATTATTTATTTAAAAATTTAAATCCTTTACCTGTGAGGATCCAGGGGTACCAAGCAACTGACTATTCACAAGCATATGATCAGGACATGTAGGTTGTGAAAAGCTGATCCCTTGTACCAGTTTGTCGATGTATGAAGGACTGGTATCCCACAAGGAAAGACCTGTCCGTGGTTCTGGCTGGGAACTAGAAAACTTCACATTTTCTTCACTAAGACATTAAGACAGAAGAAAAAATATGTCTTTATTTCTCTTTTTCTGTTTTTAAGGTGACTTCAGTCTTTTTAACCATTTACTTACTTATTTATTTATTTAGAGACAAGTTTATATAATGTGCCTAGATTATCTTGGATTTGTCACCCCTCCTGCCTCAGCCTTCCAATTAGCTGGAACTACAGGTGTATACCACTTTGTTAGACTAAAAATGTTTTAAATAAATCCACCATACCTTTTTTATAACACACCATCATTTTTGCTTTGATAAAATTATTTGCATATATACATGTGTTATTCTTCATGAGGAGGAACGTTACATTCAATAACTATTTAATCTGGCCAGGTACGGTGGCCCATGCCTATAATCCCAGCACTCAAGAGGTAGAGGCTGGAGGATCACTACAAATTCAAGACCAGCTTGGTCTACAAAGGGAGTTCCATCCACCCAAGGTTTCATAGTGAGGCCCTGTCTCAAAAAAAAAAAAAAAACACAGAAATAAAAATAAATAAAAATTATTTTTTATTAGTCTTACCTAGAAGCACTATTTACTGGAGAAAAATCCAAATTAGAATGAATGTGCTTGGAGAATCCACTAGAAGACTCTGACATACCACCTGAAGTCACTTGGGGCCTCTTTGCTCCTATTTTTAGAAAGCAAATACAGATGTTCTATGCAAATTTTTTTAGTTAATGCAACTGACAAATTGAATTCATCTAAATCTAATAAATCAATAAATAAATGTTTAAAATAAATAAAATTTGGTTCAAACCTTCCAGTGCTTTACTTCTCACATAGAATCTGAGTTAAAACTAGTTTAATCCCAGCACTCGGGAGGCAGAGGCAGGTAGATCTCTGTGAGTTCAAGGCCAGCCTGGTCTACATAGTGAGTTCCAGGACAGCTGGGGCTACAGAGAGACCCTGTCTCAAAAAGACCAAAAACAAAAACAAAAAACTAGTTTATGATCTTTGAGGTCTTACACTGTCTCTTTTACCCCTAAACACAATCTTAGTCAAAAGGCTAAGAAAAAAGATTTTTCCTTCCTAGTGAGAATGATATAGCTCTCATCAACCATAATGAAAAAAGTCTGAAGTCAGTAAACCCTGGAATTTACTTCTGCTTTTCTTCCTATTGGTCACAATTGTCTTCTGATTGCTGTTTCAGCTTCTCCACCAAACACATAACTTCTTTTCTTTCTTGTTCTGTAATAATCTTGTTTTCCTTCTCATATATTTGATTGACTGAGTACAGTGTTGGAGATTGAACCGAGGCCTTGTATATGCTGGGCAAATGCTCTACCTCTGGGCTATACCCTCAGTCCTTACTGCATTCCTCTTCTCTGTGGTTGTTTTTTTCTTTCAGTTATGTTTCGGTAAAATACTTTCTTTTGTTACTAAAAGTTTATGTCGACTTAAGTCCTATTTACAGGTTGGCTTAAGTTAGACACAAGCATGCTCGTTGGGATGAGTGAGATTTACAGCATTTTTTAATATACTTTTTAATTTATTCTTTGATAATTTCATATATGCGATATAAAGCATTTTGGGAGTCTGGATTTTTAGAGGCAGAGATCAATATAAATTCCTGGTAGACTGTGCATGAGGCGAGAGAATAAAAGGTATCTCCAAGGTTTCCGAACTTCCTAGTGAGGATGTAGCTCTCATCAACTGTAATGAATGAAGTCTGAAGTCAGTAACTCAGTTTGGGTCACATCATGTTTGTAGTGCCTCTTAACTCAAAGGGAGTTTGAGAAGTTAGATAAGTGATGTAGGAATTCACAGGAAAGGTCTGGCTTGATAGAAATGTGGTAAGTCATCAATACACAGATTTATTTATTTAAAGTCAAGAGATCAAATAAAAGTACTAATGGAGTAAGTGTGATGAAGCAAGGAAAGGTCAGTGGGTTGAGCCCTGCAGCACTCAAACATTAGGAAGCTGGACAAACTCCTAGAGACTAAAAAAAGATAGACTTAGCAGATTCCAAGTTCAATACAAGATAAGATTGTTGAAGCCATGGTACTAAATGAGAGAAGTCAGAAATAAACTATACTGGCAATCAGAGTAGGATGTTTGAAGTTAAGATCACTGAATAGAAAATAGTGAAGTCAGAATATTGGAAATATCATTCAAATAAATACTGAGATTGCCAAGCACCATGAAAAAGTTGGGTGTGGTGGCATCACCTGTAATTTCTAGGCACTGAGAAGAAGGCTATGGCCAGGCCACACAGTAAAACTGTCTGAAAACACAAAACCATGACAAAATTTACATCAAGTGCTGGTAGAATTATGATAGTATGCTAGGAATCTTATTTTGGGTTCAGAAAGTTAATAGTATTAAGTAGAGAGCACAGTGGATGGCAGAATCTGATAATGAGATCGTTAATAAAGGAAGGAAGAATGTGGGACGTTAGAGCAGTGTCAGTAAAGAATCAGAACATGGGGCTGGAGAAACGATGGCTCAGCAGTTAAGAAAACTGGCTGCTCTTGCAGAGAACCTGGGTTCGAGTCCCAGAACCCAAACAGCGGCCAACAACTGTTCATAGCTCCAGTTCCGGGGATCCAATGCCCTCTTCTGACCTCCAAGGACACTGCATGACATGGGTGCACCTACCTATAGGCAGGCAAGACACTCAATACACATAAAATTAAAAATAATAAATAAAATATTAAAAAAAAAAAATCAGAACACCTGCCTCACTTCCAGACCCAAGGACATGAAGGCATGGGAAAGAAAACACAGGAAAGAGAGTCCTCAGGGTGAGATGGATTTCAATTAGAACAAAGTGAGTTAAAGGAAAGATAAAACTCCTCATTCATCTTTAAGCTGTCATCTCTCCTACCATTCAAACTTCTTGAATGAGCTGTCTGATTCTTTACTTCTTCAAACTATAATCACTGGGCTCTAGCATTTACTCACTACTCTCCATGGAAATTGTTCTTGCTAAGATCATGAAAACACCACATTAGGGAATTCAATGGAAAAGTTTAGGCCTCATGTTATTAATTCACTTAACACTAACTCTACTGCTCTCATCAATTTTCTACTCTTAGCCTCCATTACCTCACATTCTGCAAGTGCTTCATTCACCTCATGATACTTTTTGTTTCTTGGTTTCCACCCACAACTTAAATAATAGCATTCCTTACCCTTAATTTACCAGTTTAAATTCCCTACAATTAGAGTCTGAAGCCTAGTTCTTTCTCTTGTGTACACATGTAGACAGCCTAGAGAATCTATTCAGCTCCTCAAAACCAAAGAAAGTTTCTCCTCAAATCCATTCCCTACCCCTGAGCTACCAAAACCAGAACCTAGGAGTCATCCTGATTCTTCATAGTCCGAGTACACTTAAGCAACCCTGAGTCCTATCGATTCCAGCTCTTAAATTTCTTGAAACTCATCACTCTAATGCTATTACCAATAACCTATTCTAAGCTACCACCTTCTCACATCCAAAACTGTTGTAAATACCTACACCACTCTTAGCCTGTTCTGTTTCACAAAAAAATGAAAAACATTAGTATCTAGAAAGATCTTTTAAAGCCAAACATACAAATCATCTTGTTTTCTTACTTAAAGTCCCTCAAATTTCTAATGGTATTAAGCTTGAGGAAAAATCCTTAGTATAGCTCATAAAGTCCTCCTTGTACCTTGGTTATTTGAGTGTCTTGAATCAGCTCAAACCTCTCTCCTTCTTCCACTTCTCTATTTACTCAGGCACTCAGCAAACATTGATCATCTGTGACATCACTTACTAACCACTGATGATAATAATGATGGACGAGACAAACAAGGTTCATGTCATATTGGCCTGATCTTTCAAGTTATTCAAATACACCTGACTTACTAAATCTAAGATTTTCAAAATGTTGCTTCCTCTGCTCAGAATCAAACCTGCTGCCTGGCTAGCTGACCTATAATCATCAAGTTTTAGACTTTATGTCACTTCCTCATGAGGAAAAGTCTTCCCTGTCTCAAAGACTTGGTCAAACATTTAGCTATAATACTCAAACTTTCTCTTTTTAGTTGCTAATGAACAAAATTACTTTCATGCTTATTTTTCCTACCAGACATCAAAATCTCTATTTGGACAGACCATAGCTTCTTATACTAGTGATTTATGATACTTTGTAAGTATCTATACATTCCACAGAAAAAAATGCTCATGCTTATTACCTTTCTTAAGTGGTTTGTTATACCATCTATCCTTTTTGATGTCCAGGATAGTAATCCTTGCTGATGGATTTTCAACTAGAATTTTATGAAGCAAAGCTGAAAATAAAACAAGACAGTATTTATAAAATAGTTATGCAGATTAGAAAAACCTATGGCTGGTAGCAGCCCCCACGTGTCCACATATTATTGCATGGGAAGAGAAAGGACAAAGCTATAATTGCTCCAATATATAGGTTCTTTGCTGCTATATATACTTGAGAGTATTCTTTCTAGGTCTAACTCTCAATTGTTTGCAAGTAAGCAGAACAAGGGCAGGTGGAATTTTTTTCCCCATGTAACATTAACAAAAAGACATGAAACTACCCCCCAAATCCTCTTCTCATTTTAACAATGATTTTGATTGCTCTATCATGCCATGACCTCATGCTACTTTCCTTGTCACATGGGGAGTTTACTTAATGCTAGCTTTTTAAAAGACACTAAAGCCAATCATGTGCCCATGCCTGTAGTCACAAGACTTGAAGAGGCACAAGTAGAACTGAGGATAGCCTGGGACATAGGAACACATATAAATCCCAACACCAAAATTATGTTCAAATGGACCAAAGGTTTAAATGTAAAAATGAAAACTAGGCATAGTGACTCATGCTTGTAAGCCCAGCACTCAGATGGCTGAGGCGGGAGGACTGCCACATTCAAGGCCAGCCTGAGCCACATAACGATGCATGGTAGCATACATCTCTAATCCCAACACTTGGAAGTGGAGACTGGAGGATCAGTAAGCAGCTTGAGGTCATCCTTCACTACAGAGACAAGTTTAGGACCAGCCCACACTAAATAAGATCCTGTATCAGCTGGGCATGGTGGTTCATACCTTTAATCTTAGCACTCGGGAGGCAGAGGGAGGCCAATCTCTGTGAGCTCCAGGCCAGCTGAGGCTACAAGGGGACCCTGTCTCACAAAGACCAAAAAATTAAATAAATAAATAAATAAATAAGACCCTATATCAAAAATAAAACAACCACAACAACAAACAACAAAAACAAAAGAAAACAAACAAGAACAAAATGTAAAAAGGAAAACATAAAAACACTAAATGAGAACAGAGACCTTTTCAAGAAATATCAAGGGTAGAAAAGAACTTTCCAAACATGACAATGTAAGTCAGAAACCACAAATGACAAGATTATAGACGTGAAATAACACGTGCACATTAAAATAACCAGTAAAATGAAAACAAATGACAAAATATTTGTAATAAATGCAATGACGAAATAGTATTAACACATTTTTCAAACATCAAAGGATTAAGAAAAACAATATAAATCTCCTTGCCAAAACGGAGCAAAATTGTGGAAAAGCTACTGAGTTACCTAAGGGAGTAGGCAACTCAGTATTAACATTAAATTTCAAGTGAAGTTTTAAAAAGCAGCATCAGTTATACACTTATTGGTTTAAAAACAAAACAAAAACCCTTTTTAGCTTAAATGGATGAGACCATGATGAAATGACAAACTTTTTGTAAAGTAATTTAGTAAAACAAGCCACAGTACTTAAAAACTACATACATCCTTGATTCTGCAGTTTTGCTTAGCAGTGGATGATGGTTTGAATAAGAATGTCCCCCATAGGCTACAAGTACTTGGAAATTTTGTCCCTAGTTGGTGGCACTGCTTTGGGAGGTCTTAGAAGGTATGGCCTTGTTCAAATAAACTCTTCTTTCTATAAGTTCCCTTGGTCATGGTGTTTTATCACAGTAACAAAAAGTAACGAATATGCAGGGCTGTATTTTAAGCTAATAATTAAAGGATATATGCAAACATTAAGTGATAATGGATGCATATCATACCTATTCTAAGAGTAAAAATTAAGAAAAAAAAAACTAAACTTCTAATAAAGTAAATAGGATGGATAAGACATAGTCACATAACAGAATACCATCAGTCTTTAAAAATTTGATTTAGAGGGTTGGAGAGATGGCTCAGCGATTAAGAGCCCTTGTTGCTCTTGCAGAAGACTCAGGTTTGGTTCCCAGCACACATATGGCAGCTCACAACTCTGTAACTCCAGTTCCAAAGGATCCATGGCCCTCTTCTGGTCTCAACAGACATTGCACCTATGTGGTTCACATCTATACATGCAGACATCCTATCATACACAAAAATTTTAAATATGGTACAGACCCATAATTACAGACATGGAAAAATATCCAGAGCATCAAAACCAAAATATGAGTTTTGAAATATAGGTAATATGATTTACTTTTTATAAAAGCATTCTTATGCTGGGCATGGTGGTGCATGCCTTTAATCCCAGCACTTGGGAGGCAGAGGCAGGCGGATCTCTGTGCATTCAAGGCCAGCCTGGTCTACATAGAGATTTCTAGGCCAGCTGGGGCTACAGGGAGACCCTGTCTCAAAAAGAACCCAAAAAAACCTTATATCGGCATACATCATATTCAAAACAACATGGCACATTATCAGTACTTTTAAAAGGCTATTTCTGAATGCCATAGGAAGAGCTGTTGTCTTTCTTAATTTCTTCTTTTTTTAAGAGACAGGATCTCAATACATAGGCCTGGCTGGCCTAGAACTTGCTATATAGACCAGGCTGGCCTTGAACTCACAGCTATCCCCCTTGCCTCTGCCTTCCAAGTGGTCAGATTAAAGGTATGCCTGGCCATTCTCTAACTTCTATGTATTGAATGTTCTAAATTAGCTACAAGGATTATGGGTTATTTACGTAGAAGAAACAAACAAACAAATAAGACTTCATTATCCACAAAATTAATACTTTCAATCAAATAATTCACTTACCCAGAGGAGCAGAATCAATTTTTTTCCAAGGGTTGAGGTATGTTTTTTTGTCTTTCCAATCACAATATTCTTGACAGCTCTCACTGGGCTGGTCCCATGGTAATTCTAAAAATGAAACAAGCTGCAGTTTTCTGAATGTTTACATAAATTCTGAAATAAAGATTTTAAGGAAAGTAACCACACAAAAGAACACAAAAGTAAATAAACATACAAGTAGGGCTGGGGGTGATGGCCAGGCATGGTGGCACATGTCATTAATCCCAACACTTGGAAGGCAGAAGCAGGTAGCTATCTTGTGAGAGTGAGGTCAGCCTAGTCTACATATCGAGTTAAAGGCCAGCTGGGACTAAAAGGAGACCCTGTCCCAAAAAAACATTAAAAAATTAATAATAATGTAAGTTTCCTCCAAAGTAATCTAATTTGGGTTTCATAAAAAGTATACAGAAACTTCTGAGTAAGTACTTCAAAGATAGATAGATACGGGCTGGAGAAATGGCTCAGGAGTTAAGAGCACTGATTGCTCTTGCAGAGGACCTGGATTCAGTTCCCAGCACCCACAAGGTGGCTAACAACTGTCCATAACTCCAGTTCCAGGGGATCCGACGCCCTCTTCTGACCTCTACAGGCATTGCCCGACACATAAAAATAAATATTTTTTAAAAGAAGAGTAAGGAAAGAAGTGATGTATCTATATATCTTCTTTTAAAGTTTATTTTTTAATTATTTTATGTGTATGCGTGTACTGCCTGCATGTATGTAAGTGTACCACATGCCTGCCTGGTGCCTTCAGAGGCCAGAAGAGGGAATGGGATCCCCTGGACAGGTGTTAGCACCATGTAGGTTCTGGGACCCAAACCCTGGTCTTCTGGAATAGCAGCAAGTGTTCTTAACCACTAAGCCATCTCTCAAGCCCCTTTTCTTACTCTTCAAAAGTATTTACACAAAGTCTAGAAATACAGCTCAGTAATAGAATGCTTGCCTACCAGGTGTGTGGGTGGCCCTAGATTCAATCTCTAGCACCACCCAAAAAGTGTTGGGATTTTACATTTAATAGCTTATGCATACCTCATTTAAATGGATCTTTAGGTTACAAGTTTCATGTTAGTGAGAAATAAGATACTACTTATAATGGGCTAAATATTTATTTCCCCTCTAAAATTTGTATGGAGGGGCTAGAGAGGGGTGGCTCAGCAGTTAAGCTGCTCTTACAGAGGATCCAGGTTCAGTTCCCAGCACCAACATGGCAGCTAACAACCATCCATAACTCCAGTTCCAAGGGATCCAATACCCTCTTCTGGCCTCTGTGGGCATTATATGCAAATGGAACACTTATATTCATGCAGACAAAACACATACATATAAAATAGATGATAGGTAGGTAGGTAGATGACAGATAGATAGATAGATAGGTAGATGATTGATTGATTGATAGATAGATAGATAGATAGATAGATAGATAGATAGATAGATAGACAGACAGACAGACAGGCCAACCACATATTAAAATCCTGACGCTCAATCTGATGATTTTGGAGATGAGAACTTTCTGAAGTGATTAGGTCTATGAGCATGAGAGTCCTCATGAATGGGATTTGTGTTATGAAGACATTGGAGAGCTTTGTTCTACTCTCTCTCTGCTCTACATCATGTGAGGACCATGGTAAGAAGGCCATCTGCAAGGCCCTTATCAGAATGTGACCATGCTTGCACACTGATCCCAAACTTCAGCCCTCCAGAATTTGTATGAAATAAATCTGTTCATAATACACTCAGTCTATTGTACTTTGCTATAGCATCCCAAAGTGATTAGCAAACACTACAGAATTATGGATTTCCTTACATCATTTTCATTTTAGTGTAGCAAATCTGAGTGTTTAGAGAACAGAAGTTTTCTTAAGATTAAACAGCCTTACCTCCAGCCAACATTGCAGTAAGTACTATTCCACAGGACCAAACATCAACTGGTTCTGCATGAAATTCTTTTCTCTTTAAAAGTTCTGGAGCAACATAAGGTAAAGTACCACACATCTTGTTCAACAAGCGCTCACGATTATTATGCCGAAACACCGTGGCCAAACCAAAGTCAGAAATTTTGAGGTTATCTAAGTCAAAAGAAAAAAAGACAGTGCTGGATTAAAAAGGTTTACAAGAGATATATAAATTGGGTTTTATTGAAAATATTCCTGGTTTTACTTAAGGTTTATAGAACTTCTCTACCTGAAAATGAGAATAAACAAAAAGAAAGTTGCGTTTGTATATAAGAGAAAAAGTTAAGACACACCATCAACTATGTTAAACTTACACTGTTTTGACCAGGTTAAAGAGAGATGCTGGAGTCAAAAGGGATTGCAGCCTAGAAAAGAGCAAACTTGGGCATACAGCAGACCAAAGCTCTTCACCAGGAACTACGAAGGGCAGGAAGGAGTCATGAGTAATGTTCTAATCATAGCTTTCTCAACAGCAAATGAACTCGGCAAAAAGAAAATATACGAGGTGAATGTCTACTATATGCAAGTAATAGACACTGTGTTAGCCAATGCAGGCAGCAGATAAATCAGTAAGACTCATACCAATGGTAATTATACAGACCATGAAAATACAAACATGATGGGATCTTGTAGCACAGGGATCTAACTTAGAAGTTAGGGAAAATCCTCTACTGTGAGAGATTACCAAAAAGTACAACCATTTTAGAAGGCAATTTGGCTAAAGAAGTTAAAAGCTGAAATAGGCACCGGGCATGGTGGCACACGCCTTTAATCCCAGCACTCGGGAGGCAGAGGCCAGCCTGGTCTACATAGTGACTCCAGGACAGTTGGGGCTACAGAGAGACCCTGTCTCAAAAAGACCTCCCCTCAAAAGTTGAAATAGTCACTCTTTAAACTAGCAATTCACACTTCTAGGACCATACCCGCAGAAGTAATTCTACAAATTCACAACTATTAAAATCCATATGTACAATGAAAACTATGGAAGGTTAGAGGAAAAAAAAAGGTGTATGTGCCTATAAGAAACAGAATGCGTGAGGAAAAAACAAGGCCAGTGGCATAACAAATTTCATCATAAATATTTACTATAAATATTTATGATCTAACTTTTGTACTGGGTCATCACTGTTCTAAGTTAGAAACAAATTATTCCCAACAGAGAATTGATATAAACAACTGTGTTTGATTTGGGAGATAGATATTACAACTATATTGTTTTAATAACTATATATGACAAAATCTGGATCAACCAATGAGATTGTCGTCTTTTTAAAAATATTTTATTTATTATTTTTATTTTTATGTGTATAAGTGTTATGCCTTCATGTATATAAGTGCACCCATGTTGTGCAATGCCCGTGGAAGACAGAAGAGGCTTTCAGATACCCTGGAACTGGAGTTACAGACAGTTGTTAGCTGCTGGGATTCGAACCCAGGTCTTCTGCAAGAATGGTCGGTGTTCTTAACCACTGAGCCATCTCTCCAGTCCCAGAGATTGTCTTCTAAACTACTTTAAAGCATCAGTCACTTCTATTTCCTCTGACATCCTCTGTAAATGTTACCCTGAATGCATTCTTTACACTTGCTTTTTCAGAGGAGCCTGCCATTCAGTTTCATTGTACCCTTTACTTGAGCTGTTCTTCCATGTTTCTATTCCTAAACAATATATTTAGTTTTTGAGCTTCATATAAATACTGTATTTTTTAAAACATTTTTGACTACATCCTTTTACTCTTAAAATTCATTTGCTTGCTTATGAGTACATATTATCCATTTTATAATTTATTTTATGGCTGATACACATTTGGGTTGTTTCCAGTTTTCTACTAACCACCAACATTGAGTAGTCTTAGATGTGAATACTTATTTTGTATGTGATTTTTAACAGCTTTTTTCTTTTCTATTGATTTTTAGGTTAGTATACAAAGCAATAGGTTTCATTAAGACATTTTCACACCTATGTACTATTATATTTTTCCAGCTTTTAAATAAAGGTAAAGAACATCGAACATGATGGCACACAGCTGTAATTCTAGAACTCAAGAGGCAGAGGAAGGACTGCCACAAGTTCAGACAAGTCTGGTCTACACAGAGAACATCTATAAGAAATTGATAAATTCCCAGACACTTATGACCCAAAAAAATTAAACCAACAGATATAAATAACTTAAACAGAGCCCTAATAAGCAATAAGGCTGAACAATAATAGTCTACCAACAAAGATTTTAAAAGCCAAGATCAAACAGATTCACTATCAAATTCTACCAGACCTTGAAGAAGAGTGAATACCAATGCTCCTTAAATGGGAAGAAACATTACACCAAACTCATTCTACAAAGCCAGTATTACCCTGATAGCAGAACTGGTTAAGAACACCTGAACACAGGGCTGGTGATGGCTCAGAAGTTAAGAGCAGTGGCTGCTCTTGCAGAGGACCTGGGTTCAATTCCTCGCACCCACATGGTGGCTAACAAACATTCATAACTCCAGTTCCAGGGGATCTGATGCCCTCTTCTGACTTCCATGGGCATTGTACAACATGGGTACACCTACCCACATGCAGGCAATACACTCATACACATAAAAATAAATAAATAGGCCAAGCGTGATGGCGCACACCTTTAATCCCAGCACTCAGGAGGCAGAGGCAGGCGGATCTCTGTGAGTTCGAGGCCAGCCTGGTCTGCATAGTGAATCTAGGACAGCTGGGACTACAGGGAGACCCGGGAAAAACCTTAAGCATGTCCTCTAAAAATCACATTAGACAAGGGTATACTACCCTCCATACTCTTATTCTATATAATGTTTGAGGTCTTAGCTAGCTTAGTACAAGACAAAGAAAGAAAGAGGATACAACTAGGTAAGAAAGAAGTCAAATTATCCTTAGTTAACCCAGATCACATGATCATCCACTAAAAAGACCTAAGGACCCACTAAAAAACTCTTAAAAATGATAAGTATTTCAACAGGGTAGCAAGATATAAAATCAATGAGTAAAAATCCTACATAGAAATGACAAAGCTGTGGAAAAAGATATCAGGAGAAAATATCCTACTCACAATAGCATTAAAAAGGACAATGCCAAACCAAAACAACAATAATAAAACCCCATAAAATAAAACAAGAAAAACTAGCAATTAACTCTAACAAGAGAAGTGAAAAACCTTCTACAAAAAAGAGACTGAAAAAAGAAACTGAAGATAGAAAGACTACACTCATGAACTGGCAAAATTAATTGAAATATATTACCAAAAGTGATTTAAAGATTCACAATCTCCATCAAAATTCCAATGACATTCTTCAAAGAACTATCAAAAGCAATCTATCTGAAGTGTAAGACTCTGAACAGCCAAAGCAATCGTAGGCGGAAAAAAAAACAATGCTAGAAGTATTACAATACGCGACCTCAAGTTAAACCGCAAAGTGACAACAAACACACAATGACAAGGGCAGAAAAACAGACACGTAGACCAATGGAATAGCGCAGAGGACCAGAAAGAAACCTACATGGCTACAGACAACTAATTTTAAAAAATATATATTTTTTATTTATTATTTTTATTTTATGTTTACGTGTGTATTCCCTGCATGTAGGTAAGTGCACCCGTGTTGTGAAATGCCCGCGGAGGACAAAAGAGGCTATCAGATCCCCTGGAACTGGAGTTACAGACAGTTGTTAGCTACCATGTGGGTGCTGGGATTCGAACCTGGGTCTTCTCCAAGAACGGCCAGTGTTCTTAACTGCTGAGCCATCTCTCCAGCCCCAGACAACTAATTTTTGACAAAACTGTCAAAAATATACATTGGAAAGAGGTTAGTTTCTTCAACAAATGGTACTGGGACAGTTGACCATGTATAAAAGGATGACGTTGGATCTAGAGCTCTCTCTTAGAAAAAAAAAAAAAATCCAACACCTTCTTCTGACCGCCACAGCATTGCACGATATGGGTGCACTCACATACATGCAGGCAATACACTCATACACATAAAATAAAAATACTAAATAAAATGTTATTTTTTTAAAAAATCAATTAAGACTAGATCAAAGTCCTTAACATAAGCTCTTAAAACTCCGAAACTGCTAAAAGAAAATGTAAACCAACCCTAAGAGAGCGGCAAAGGACTTTCTGAAAAGGATTCCAACAGCATAGGGGATAATTTCAAGAATTAATGAAATTGAATGGATTAAAACCTTCTGCACAGCATAGAATAATCAACAAAGGTATAGCCAGAGTGGGAGAAAAATCTTTGCCAAATATACATCTGACATCAAGATTTGTATCTACAATGTCTACAGAACTCCAAAACTTAAACCCAAAAACTAAATCCCATCAACGAATGGGTAAATGAATTGAATAGACAATTTTCTAACGAAACACACAAAAACTTAACACACACACACAGAGTCAACAAACATTTGAAAAAAATGTACAATATCTTTAGTCATCAAGGAAACATGCACTAAAACAGCAGCGAGAGTCTATCTTACTCAAATCAGAATGACTTTCATCAAGAAAACAAGTAAGGGCTGGAGAGATGCCTCAGCAGTTAAAGAGCAATGACTGCTCTTGCAGAGGACCCAGGTTCTGGCTAACAGGCTAACAACCTTCCGTAATTCCAGTTTCAGGGGAATGTGATGCCTTCTTCTGACTTCCGTGAGCACTGAATGACACAGGTGTACTTACAAACATGCAGACAATACATTCATACACGTAAAATAAAAATAATAAAGAAAATATTTTTTAAAAAAGAAAATAATAAACTATGCATGGTCAAGCATGCCTGTAATCTCAGCACTCTGAAGGCTGATGCAAGTTTGAGACTGAGGGTGAGCTACATAGTGAGTTCCAAGACGGCCTGGTCCACAGTGTGAGACACTGTCTCAGAAAACAACAGCATAAGAGCAAATGTTGGTGAGGATGTGGGAAGAGGAACCCTTACACTGCTGGTAGGAATATAAATTGTACAGACACTATAAAAATCAGTAATATGGAAGTTCTTCCAAAAACTGAAAATATAATTATCACAATTCAGCTATATTACTGGTTACAGAGTCAAAAGAATCTAAGTGAGCAAAGAGGTATCTAGACATCCATGTCTACTGTTACACTACTCATAGTCCAGATACAGAACTAGCCTAGATGCTCATTAACAAATAAAACAAATAAAGAAAATGTGGTGTACATCACAGTGGAATTTTACTTAGCTATAAAGAAGAAATGTCATCTGCAGGAAAATAAGCCAGACTAAACATGTGTGCGCACACACACACACACACAAACACAAGGAAAATGGAACTCAAGGGGAGAGGGGTCTAAAGGCAAGGGAAAGGGGTGGGGGAAGCAAGAGAAGGAAGAAAGATTAACACTTTCAGATGGAGAACTTAGATTTAAACGTACATATATATGTGACATGAAAGCAAAAGAGGGGCTATTAGGAGGGGTGGAAGCGGTAAGTTGGGGGACAAAGGGGAGCAATGTACAATTTAGATGTATGAAAGTATCATAATGAAACCCACTACTTACTGAAAAAAATTATCTCATGATTTATGAACTAACTGGCAGAAAGCTAAATAACTCAAAACTCAGTGCTAGACAAGATCTTCTTTTTTTGGACAAGATCTTTAAAATATTCTGTTCTAACTATTCAACTAATATTTAAATTCCCTCTTACTATCAGAGATCATACTACAATTTTTAAAAAATATTTTATTATTTTTATTGTGTGTATGAGTGTTTTGCCTGCATGTACATAAATGCACCTGTGTCATGCAATGCCAAGGAGGTCAGAAGAGGGTGTTGGATTCCCTGGAGGTACAGACAGTTGTTAGCCCCCATGTGAGTGCTGGAAATTGAACCTGAGACCTCTGCAAGAGCAGCCAGTGCTCTTAACCGCTGAGCCATCTCTCCAGCCCCATAATACAATTTGACTCAACTGCTACAAACTCCCTACATTCCAAAGCAATCTATCCTGTTTGGGGGACAAGTCTACTAATGGGAGTCATCTTTGCACTAATTCAAATTGCTCCTATAATTGTCACCTACATATTATGAAGAACCATACTTAACAATTAGCAAATTTCCCCAGAATTCCTTCAACAATTCCTTATTTGGCATAGCTCGCACAACCTTTTCTTCATTCTGGTCACTTACATACATCTAGGCAATACAATGATACACAAAAAATGAAAATAATAAAATATTTTAAAATTCTTTTATTTATTCATCTAGTGAGCTACCATTGTTCCAGGTCTTATTTTTTTACCTAATTCACAATTATATCATGAAAAACTTATGAAGTCTAAATACAGAGTCTCTCAAGCTTTCTTGACTTATCAGATTTTTTTTCTTGCCCTGAGATTTCAGTAATGTGAAAGCCTTCATCAGGCCTCTAGACTATACTAAAAGGGAACAGTAACAAAATACTAAACTTACCCCTTTCATCTAAGAGGAGGTTTTCTGGTTTAATATCCCTGTGAGTTATTCCAATGCTATGCAGATAAACCTAAGGGAGAGGTAGAGACACATAAGAATTTAGCAACTTGCCTTACTCATACTAATTTTAAATAAAATGACCAGGTAATGGTACCTACCACTCCTGCCATGAGTTGATGGAAGAACCTCTGAGCATCTTGTTCAGGCATGCCTATGTCTGGCTCTGTAAAATTAATTATGGACAGTCTACTGGAAAAATATAATCAGGTATCAACCATATAGTATATCTCATTTATGTTTGTGCGTAAACAGAAATTTACTAGTAAGTCAAATACATTACTTAATGATTCACATTTTCCAATTAAGTAGTAAAGTTAAACTAACATCCAAGAAAAATTATTTTAAAGTAACAAATTAACATCCAAATCAAGAATGCAAAGCATTTGGGAGGTCGTCTGAATATGATCAAAAGGCATCGTATGAAATGCTCAACGAATCAGTAAAAAGAAAAAAATGAAAGAAAAAAGAATGCAAACTATATCTGGGAAGTTTCTGTTTTAATCTTATACCAACCTTCATGTCTTGGTTTCCTTCACACTATCCCCTATATCTTTTAAATACAACGTTCCTATTTTTTTCGATGCTAAAATATGATTGCCAACAGAGAAGCTTATGACAACTTAAGCCATTTTCACTATTTATCAGATTTAAGTTATAAGATTTTCACATTAAAAGCCATGAATGCCTGATCTTTTACTCCAATTTCACTGTTGCATAATCAATTCTGAAATAAATCTTTTCTAACAGCTATCTAAGATTAAAAATACAACTAGGAATGTGGCTTTGTTAGAGCATTTGACCAGCTTGTGCAAAGGCCCTGAGATTAATCCCTAGCAGCACATGCACACATGTCCACCCCCATTCCCACAACACTTAAAAACTTATTTAGTAGAATAATTATCTTAAATCTTTTCCATACCTATTCTATCAAAAAGTTCTCCTCCACTACAGTACTCCAGAAATAGATACTGGATATTGCCTTCCCTCCTGTGGCCATAGAATTTCACCACATTCTCATGATTTAACATTTTGTTGATGCAGATCTCTTTCTTAATATTTTCTGGACAGTCTATGGCACGCTTCATGTCTACAATCTTCACAGCAACTGCTTCTTCAGTTCTTCTATTCACAGCAAGTTGAACTCTTAAAAAAAAAAAGTGGCAACATTCTAATATCTTAATTCTATTTCTTTTAAAATTTCAAAAGGTTAGTCTCCCAGCATTCCAGAGACAAGGGCAAGAGGATCCAAGTTCAAGGCTACAAAATGAGAAACTGTCTCAAACAAGTCAGGCATGGTGGCACATGCCTTTAATACTAGAACTCAGGAAGCAGGGGCAGGTGGATGTCAATGAGTTTGAGGCTAGCCTGGTCTACATCTGAGATTCTATCTTTAAAAAACAAACAAGCAACCGGGCGTGGTGGCACACGCCTTTAATCCCAGCACTTGGGAGGCACAGGCAGGTGGAGCTCTGTGAATTCAAGGCCAGCCTGGTCTACATAGTGAGTTCCAGGACAGCTGGGGCTACAGGGAGACACTGTCTCAAAAAAAGACCAAATAAACAACAACAACAAAATTACCAGACTGGTGAAATTAGTCTTCTTGGATGTTTAACAGCCATACTTTTGAGTTCTATAATCATTTGGTCAGAGGGACATAAAGGACACTTTTTGCTCCTTGCCCTCCTACGTCAACTAGTTCCAAGGGACTATGAGCATCTCTCAAAATGTTTTGTAAGTGTGGTGAAAAGACCCCAAAACAAACAAGCAAACAAAAAATAAAAAATTAAATATGACATCCCAAACTACTTTTCCTTTACTACTTTCTCCATCAAGGAAAAGTAAAGAACATGCTTCCTGCCATGTTCTCAAATGAAATGAAATGAAGCCGGGTGTGGTGGACCAAGCCTCTAGTCCCAGCACTTGGAGACAGCCTGGTCTACATAGTGAGTTCCCAGCCTTCTGGGGATACAGGGAGACACTGTCTCAAAACAAAACAAATGTGAAGTACTACAGTTAATGTTGCAAGAAAGTGCAGGAAAGTCATTAATAAATGCTTGATAAAGTCAACAGCAGCTCTAGATCACATCACATCTACATGTTCCATTCATAACAGCATTACTTTGCCTCTATTAAGCGCATGTGGTATGTGCCTATGGTAACTACTATAAGCACCTTTGGGGTAGGTACCATTATTTCTGTCTTTACAGATGAGGAAACAGAAGCACATAATGACTTTGGGAAGCTTGCCCAAGATCACAAAGTATAACCTTATCTAGTAAGAGTAAGGATTTGAAATCAGACAGGATGTCTGCAGGGTCTCTCGTTTGCTCATTTTAACCAAACTAGGCTTAAAATTCAAGACTAAGTGGTTTGTTGGTGAAACAATAGCTTCTCTTGTAACTCTTGCAAAAGAAAATATAGGGGGAAAACAAAAAAAGCTAGGCTTGCTAATGCAGGTTTGTGATATGTACCTGAGAGGCAAAGGAGGATCGCGAGTTCAAGGCCAGTCTGGGCAATTTAGCAAGACCCTGTATCTAGACGAAAACCAAAAAAGAAAAAAAAATTTTAAGGGCTGGTAATGTAGCTCAGTAGTAGAGCATTTGCCTAGCATATGCAAGGCCCCAGGTTCAATCCCCAGCACCACAAAAAAGAAAAAAAGGAAAAAAAACAAAAAAAAACAAAAAAAACCCCACAATATGCAATTTCACTTGCTTTAAAAGCCTTGGTTTACACTAAGAATAAAAGACTAGGAAAAAACAAGTATGCGTGCTGGAGAAATGGCTCAGGGGTTAAGAGTACTGGCTGCTCTTGCAGAGAATCCGGGTTCGATTCCCAACACCCACATGGCTGCTAACAACCCTGGGCAGCTCTTGTTCCATGGGATCCAACATCCTCTTCTGATCTCCACGGGCACTGCATGACACCGGTGCACGTATTTACATACATGCAGGCAATACAATCATACACATAAAATAAGTAAAATAAATATGTTCTCTGCCAAAACAACAGATGGAAAACTAAGGCAAGCATACAGGCAGGCAAAATTAGAATGGGGGGGGGAGTGGGCAGAGAGAAGGCTCAGGGGGTAAAGGGGACCGCTGCTAAGCTTGAATATAATTTCAACCCTCAGAACCCACACGGTGGAATGAGAACACTCTCATGAGAAGCCACTCACACAAATTGTCCTCTGACCAACACCCAGACCGTGGCATCACACACACACACACACACACACACACACACACACACACCAATAAAAATTAAAACCAGGGCTCAAACTTACTCTCCATAGGCACCTTCTCCCAGGGTTTGTACCAAATCCCAGTCTTCCACAAAAGGCACTGCCATGACTCCACCAAGCACAGCGGCTGTAAAATGCAGGATCCCAGAAAATATGGGGGATGAGTGTAAACTCCCATCACCTGCAAAACCACTGTGCCATGCCTCTTGCAGTGATTCCTCACAACCTTACATCTCCTTCATATTTATCCAAGTCTTTAAATCACAAGCCTAAGTTTAGGCATTTTATGTAAATCACAATTCCCACTGCCACGCACGTTTGTCCTCAGGCTTTCGTGCAAAACTGAACACTTGCGAGGCTCTCGGGTTGGGAAACAAAAGCTTCCAGGGCAAGGGCGGGGAACGGTGAGCGCGGAGAGCCAGCGGGCAGGAGAGCCAGCGCAGCCCCTCCTCCCACCCGCTCCCTTCCCATTCGCACCTGTACCGCACCCGCCGACCCGGACGAGACGGGGCGGGGCCGAGCGGCGGGGAGAGGCGAAACGCAGGGACCCCAAAAGCCAAGAACATCCAAATCTCGGTTCACAGGCGGCTGGAGGCGGTCTCTCCAGTCCTCCACACTGGAGACACCGCGGCACCCGGCGCACAGACCGCCACTCTGCTGGATGGCTTCCCGCGCTCGTCACAGCTCCCTCACCGCAGCGTCTGCACCAACACAGACCTCCAAGTCCTATGCTGGAGTGCCTGCCCACCTTACCCGCAGCCCTTCTCACCGGGATGTCCTCAGCGCGCCGTCACAGGACTCCAAATGCAGGGCTTTTCCCGCCAAAAATCCGCTTACGTCATACCGTCGCAAAACGTGCACCCTTGCCGTAAAGCGGGGCGGCGCGCGTAGACTTACCTCGGGCTCTGCGGATTTTTCTAGAAATCTCCGGGCGGAAAGTCTCTCTCCTGCATGTGCAGGTCCTGCCCAACTCTGAGACCGGCAGGAAAGTTTGGAACCCAGGGTCAGTGCGAACTGGTCTCTGGGTTTCCGTGTGAAACGAGCGTCCAGCGTGTGCTCAGATGGACACTTTATCTCGCTCCAGAGAGAAGCCAAGACTTCGGTTAGACTGCGACCCGGGTGGGCTGCGTGAACGGGCCAAGGACGCGGTTCCGGGTGCGGCGCGGCTCGGAGCCTAGAAGGGCTGCACCGTTTCCGATGTAAACCAGCCAGCTCGTGACCTCCGAGCACCTGACGCAGCTGCCTGGCAAGGGCCTGGGCACAGCGAGCGCCGCGCCACAAAGTGCTGTAAAAACTTTCAAAGTGTGTACCCACGGCAAACACAATGGAAGGAAAGCCAGGTGTGGTGGCGCATCCCTGGTCTTGGAAGGCAGAGGTAGTGGGGATCACGAGTTCAAGGTCCGCCCGGGATATATGATGATACTCAAGAAAAAGCGAGAGAAACAAAGGGGGGGCGGGATAAAAAAAAAAAAAAAGAACCACTCTGCCTGGAGTGGAGGAGTCTTGAAGAGACCAGTATTTTGTCTTTTTTGCACAAGGCTCTAAATCTTTAGTTCAACTCAACCTTTGGTAGGAAGGCCATTTACCTACGCTTAGTTTACCTGCCTTCTCATTAAAATTTACGTTTGGAGGCTGAGGCAGGAGGCACCCAGTTTGAGCCGAGCCTAAGCTACATAGCAAGAGCCTAACTAAAGGCAGGCTGGGCCCAAAACTGTGACCCTATCTTTAAATGGAGGGGACTTGCGGAGCATTAATTACTGGGCTAGGGATGTGGCTCAATGGTAGAGTATTTCTCTAGCATGCGTAAGGCCTGATGAAAATCAGTCAATTCTGAGGGAGAGTACGTTTATGCCTTGTTATTGCTTAACAAGTGCTCTGCCACTGAGCTACACCCTCATCCCCACGTGAAACACCTGCAGTTACATAGTTTTAAACCACGGTGTCAATTTAGGATTCATGTAATGAGTGAGATCATTTCTAATTTCCTGTGTGTTGAAAACAAAAGGAAAAAAAGTGAACACACTAAGGTTTGCACAAATGAAAAACTGAATAGTGACAAAGACAAAAGAAAAAACTAAGAAAATTGTACAGTAAAAAGACAGGTGTGGCAACACATGCCTACAATCTCAGCACCTTGAAGGTAGATGCAGGAGGATCAGGAATTCCAAGTCACCCAACAATACCCAGTTTGAGATCAATCTGTGCTATATCACTGTCCAAAAAAAAAGAGAAAGGTACGGATCCTTTCTGAAACTTCTATGCTAAATAGTAAAATATGGCTTTAGAAAACATCATAACCTCAGGACTGTAGAGATGGTTCAGCAGTTAAGACCTCTTGCTGCTCTTACAGGGGACCTGCTTTCATTCCCAGCACATACAACAGCTCATGACCTCTGTAACTCCAGTTCCAAGGATCTGATGCCCTTTTCTGTCCTCTGCAGACACTGCATGCATGCAGTGCAATTGCATGCATGCAGGCAAAACACTCATACACATAATAAGTTTATGTGTATGAGTGTTTTGCCTGCATGTATGTAAGTGCATCTGTGTAGTACAAAGCCCACAGAGGCCAGAAGAGGGTGTCAGATCCCCTGGAAATGGAGTTACAAACAGCTGTTAGCCATCATGTGGGTGCTGGGAATTGAACCCAGGTCCTCTGAAAGAACACAGTGCTCTTAATGGTGGAACCATCTCTCCAGTCTTGTAAAATAGAAATTTTTAAAAATGAAAGAAAATAGCCTTTAGAATAAAGTATGAGAAAATCTTAGAATGAGAAAAACTTACTGTAGATGAAAAGTAACTAACAAATACAATAAAGACTAATTCAAAGCTAATGAGAAAGCAAAAAAGCAACTTATAGGAAGCCCAAAAGGCTCAAAGCAATTTTGAATATGGAGGTCTAAGTGCGACAAAAGACTGAAAGTGACAAGACTACCTAAGAAGCAAGGAGACATCCACATGCCCTTCTCCCTTGTGTTGTCAAAGAACTGCTCTTCCCCCAAACTGGTGTAAGACTTGAAAGGGTAAATATATGGTAGCTGAACTGGTGAGTTGGCACCCTACTGAAAACAGGAATTAAATTGAAAATTTAAGTATTTGCACTGGAGGTTGAGCTCATATGACTTTCCCTACTCCCAAAAAGGTGACAGCCTGGCTAATAGTCTTAGTAAGAGGATATACAAACCCTAAATCATTTAAGAAAAAAAATCTAAACATACCAATATCAATGTCTCAAAGTGGCAGCCCAGCCAGATCACAACAGAATAGACTGAAATGCACAAGCACACACTCTCCAAAGCCCTTTCAGTTATCCATTCATTTAAAAAAAAAATAGCCAAGCACAGCTGTAGTCTCAGCACTGGGAGACCCAGGCAGAAGGATCTCTGTGAGTTCCAGGCCAGCCAGTGATACAGAAAATTTGGGAACATCTTTCATTGGAAAGGCATCAAAACAAAGGAATATTCAAACACTAGCAAAACGGCTTCTAAGACATTAGAAATATGAAAGCAGAAAAGGAAAAAAGGATTTGAAAATATGGTTAAAGGTGGGTATGTAGCTCACTGGTAGAGTGTTCAGCTAGCTTATACAAGACCCTGGGTTTGACCACAAAAAAAGAAAATACAGCTGAGGAAATCTCCCAGAAGATGGAAAACAAGAGTAAATAGAATTTTAGGAGATTAACTCAGGAAATCCAACACCCAAGTAACTGTATCAGAAACAGAAAGTTATAAGAATCCTCATATAACACAAGTTTTGGGGGGCAGAACTTGACTTTATATACATGAAAATCCGGAGTACCCAGCACAATGGGCAGCCATGCTTAAGATAGAACATGGGGAAATTTCAAAACATATACCAAGAGGTCTAGGGGAAGGAACAAACTGTTATGAGAACAGCACTTCTTAACACTCAGGCCTTCATAGTGCTAAAGAAACAGCCCATCTAGAATTCTATACCTAGCTATTCATCAAATATGAAAGAACTCCAGAAACTTATCTCCCTTATATACTTTTATAAGAAGGTACTCAGAGATAGTAGGTCAAAGAAAAAGTCAAAAGATTAACAAATACAACAATGAAATGATACAAATTGACAAACGTGGTATGGTGGCATACACCTATAATCCTAGCACTTGGGAAGTAGAAGCAGAAGGATTGGGAGTTTAAAGCCAGCCTGGGCTACAAAAGACCCTGTCTCAAAAAAGCCCAAAGAAAAAAACTGTAATATGTTTGAACACACTAAGAGAAAATTGGCGTCACCTCTAATCCTAGCACTTGGGGGACAGAGGCAGGTAGATCTCTGTGAGTTCAATACCTGCCTGGTCTACACAGGAATTTCCAGGCCAGCCAGGGTTATGGGGTAGGGAGGGGGACTGAGACTGAGGGAGAATTGGGTGGGATGGGGAATTAGTAACAATTTTTTTTTTTTTTTTTAAAGGTACTTCCTAAAAGAGTAATGCAAGAATAGTAGCAAAGTCGCAAGCTGGGTATGGTAGCCCATGCTAGCAATCCCACCACTTGGGAGGTTAACGCAGGAGGATCAAGAATTCAAGGCCATCTTCACCTACATACTAAGTTCAAGGCCAGCCTGGGCTACATGGAATTGTCTGAAAAACCAACAACAACAACAACAAAAAAAAACAGTATCTGCTACATCTTAATTGAGAATAGTCAGAAGGTATAAGGTAATTAATTGTATCTATAAACAGAAGATAGTAAAAATGGTATGTCCCCAAACAAAAAGGATGGTAAAAAAGTACTAAATATTGCTCCCACCCCCAGAGTCTACAGAACTTGAAACTGAAACAACAAAATCTCAAAACATAAAGCAAGTCATTTAATGATTAAGAGGCAAGTAATGTGAGACTCAGCAGAGCTGAAAGTGCCAGTCTCTGGGTAGTGGGAAAAGTGAAAATTGTATTGTTGCTCTTTAAATGGATTTTTTTTGTTTTACACTAAAGTGGACTATCACTGAAAATGAAAGCAATTTTTAAACAAAATCCTAGGAGTCAAAATTATAGGAAAAAGGGTTGTTATCATTTATACTATAGAGAAATCTCACTAATAACCTGTAATATTAATCATGTTGATAAATCTCACAATAACCTTTCCCACTAGGGAATAATTCTACACATAAATTAATATATTTGATATAGGAAATCAAATCTATTAAATCTAAATTTCAACCACAGTTGAAATACATGGTACAAACTGTCTTGGAAGGTGAAGTCCCTAGGTACGAAAGTATGCCCAAGCACATGCACTGTGAGTGCAACTGTGGCTATCCAAAAGTGGCATAATTCCTCATTTTCTTAACAGGTAACACTAGACAGATAGGGTTTATATACATCAATAATTATGTCTTATGTTGTAAAATACATGAAATATCCTACTGTGCTTAACAGAAAGTTGTTTATCCCGGCATTAAATATCTATGTGACCTTTGTGCTTTGAAGTTAAAAATTTTTTTTTAAGTTTCTCTTTTCTTGTAGTCAGGCTGGCAATGATCCCAATTCTCTGCTAATAGGAATGCTTTCCTCTTCCTATTTACATATTTTGTAAGGGCTTCAAAACCAGGTAACCAAGCTTGAAGTGGTATATAAACAGAACAGTTTGCCACTAAGAAAAGCTCAACTTTGAATAACCTCGAAAGTTTTAGTGTAGTCTAAAGGAAATGAGCAAAGAGCCACTTGTTGCATCATACATCGGTTAAGTGAAGTACTGAAAACCTAAATTTTAAACAGGTACACATAATTAACCTCTAAACATGTTGGAAGAATACCTTCCTCTCAAACTGACAACAGTTTCACTGAGTCTTCGGAACTACTGGTCAGTCACATTTGGTTTAGTTCTGCTCTAAAAACTAAAAAACCCTCATAGTTCAGAACACTGGTGAAGTCGGGGTTACCTAATAACTTTCTGTCCTTATAAAGTCAGAGCTTCTAAGGGGAAGAGATATTGAGAACAAAGACATAATAGCAAGAAAGCTGCCTTTCTTGCCCAGAAATAGCACTTCTCTGGTCCCATAAACATTTATTCATTTGATAAAAATTTATTAAGCACCCACTGTATGCAAAGCATCATATCAGGTGCAACAAAACAGTATGACAAAGTTGTTTATATATGTAGAACCAGAGCTAGTCCTTGAGTTTTCCTAACAGGAAAGAGAAAGAATGCCCCTATTTGGTTCACTTAGGGACCTAGAACATGAATAAGGTCTCCAATCTGTCCATTAACCCAGCATATACTTTTGTGTTGTTTCTCAAATCAGCAGATTTAAGTCATTAAAAAAAATAATAAGGCACATTAAAAAAAAAATCCCCCCCTTTAATTGACCAAAGTAAAGCCATGACATATCATTTGGTAACCTGCTCAGAATTATAAAAATCATTTCAATTGGCCCAGCCCATACTGTCCAGGGCAAAACTTCCGGACCATTCTAATCCCATCCGGCTCTGTTCTTAAACTACATATAAAAAAATCTTCAGCGTCCTCAATATGACGCACTCAGTGCGAAGCTTATCAGAGTTCGATGTGACATTTATGTCCTTGACAAGCCTCGATTATCCAGGTCCTTTACCTGCAATACAAAGATAACAGTTTAATATTTACAATCAGGACAACTTTGGTGAGCTCTTCTACTGGTTTGTTCAGAGTAGGAAGAATTATATTAGATTCTGTTGCCTGGTTTGGCATTGTGAATAAATAAACGTGGGTTAAGGACTAGCTCCTGGCTACTTAGCCTTTTAGAGTGCCTCTAAGAAACAGTATAAACCAATTTCACATGGACCAAAAGGCCTTAGTCTTTCCTTTTTTTCATTGTTGCTTGAGACAGGGTCTTGCTATATGGCCCAGACTGTCCTCAGACTAAATCCTCCCTCTGCTTCCCTAGTGCTAGGATTACAGACATGTATGCCACTCCTAGCTCGATATTTTCTTAGGTAAAAGATGTAAAACACTCTTGTATGATTTTACATGACTCCAAAATTCTTAAGCAGAAGAAAATATAGCTCAAAAACAGGAACACATGTATCTCTCCAAACCCCAAGCCTGATAATAACTGCAACATTCTGTGTCAAGCCCTATCTAGTAAAGCATTGCTGCACTGAGTATGGTCATATATCTGTAACACTAGCATTCCAGAGGCTGAGAAAATGGGATCTTTATATAGTAAGTTTAAGGCCAGCCTGAAATATATCCTGAGACCCTATCTCCAAACAAACCAAAAAAGGTACTGGGCCATCAATAGGGTTCAATGAGTTAAGGCACTTGCTGCCAAGCCTGGTGACCTAAGTTTGATCTCCATGATTCACGTGATGGAAGGAGAGAAACAACTCCTGCAAGCTGTCCTCTGACCTCAAGTGTGGCATGCCCCTCCCACCACACACACAAGTAAAAAACTAATAAAAAAAAAATATATATATATATAATTATATATTGTCATAAACAACTGCTAAAATGACAGTCAACTAGGATGTCTCCTCTCTAAGAATGATCTGAAATAAAATATATAAAATTTAGGGCTGGCCATATCACTCAGCAGGCTTGCCATTCAAGCCTGAAGACCTGAGTTCGATCTCTAGAACCTACATATAAGTCAAAGGAGAGAACCAACTCCACAGTTGTCCTCTGACCACCACACGTGTGCTCCGGCATGAGAGCACATAGGCACACACACACAAAAAATACAAGCCAGGCATGATGGTACTCTGGAGGCAGAGGTAGGCAAATCTTAAGTTCAAGACCAGCCTGGTCTACATAAGCAGGTTCCAGGCCAGCCAAAGGAACACAACACAGTAAGGCCCTATCACTAAATAAAAATAAATAAAACTTTGAGTGAGTTTTAAACTACTTTTCACATACAGGTACTATTAGAAATGTTGCTATTCAAAAAACTTGTGTACTAGAACTCATCTGCAAACCTGAGAGCAGCATTCTGAGATGTGAAGCACTGCTCACCTTGTATATCCTGACCAGCCAATGTTCTGTGGTGTATGCTTCCTCCAGGACATCAAGCTCAAAGTCTTTATTACCAATCTCAGCATTTCGGACACGGTCAAAGCCTGGTGGACGCTCTAGAAGGGACAAAAAAGAAAACTTTCCACATGCTGATTTCTTAAAAAGATGGGAAGCTATACATCATCTACTGTGTTGACTGTTATTCCTCAGCCTGCAGTTTGATTAGAGTCCACAGAAAAGAGCATGAGGTAGAAATGACAAAGTCCTGTCCAAAGTAATGTTCAACCGAGTCCATGGAGTTTATCTCTTATTAACTCTACAAGCTGACTTCTGAGCCTCTCTATTCCTAAGGACTGTCATCTAGAGGCCTAACACTAGTAACCCTTCCATGGCTCAAAGAAGAACTTATTGGAAATCAAAGGCTTGCATCTACTTCAGAAACCTTCCCTGGTACAGAAACACAAAATTGAAATACAAAAGACTTTACCTGATAAAATCCCTCTCAGTACATCCAACTGAAAAGTGGAAAAGTACTTTTTTCTTTATCCCTTTATTCCTTCCTCACTACAATACTCTTTATTGAGAAAGAATAAAAGATAATGTTTTAAAGCACAGAAATTAGAGCCAGACTGAGCTTGAATCCTATTACTATGTGGTATTGGCTAGTTCAGTAACCTATTGGTTTTTTCAATTTTCCTTACATATAAAATGATGGCAATATTAGCTTCTACCTTCTGGGTTACTGTGAGGATTAAAAGAATTAAACAGAATAAGAACAGAGCCTGGAAAACATGAATGATGTTAGCTATCCCCAGCACTATATTCTAATTTATGAATCAACTCACTGGCTTCTGTGTAGACTTGCCCAAAGCGGTAGTAACACATTTTATACATAAGGCAGTTGAGCAGCACTGGAGAACCCTCACGGTCCACACGGAATTCCCCAGTCGAAGTATAGTAGTCATTTTCTTTGATATGTCTTCCTGTATCTGTGCTACCTCCAATCCGGACCATCCAAAGAAACTTGTTGATATCTACAGAAAAAAAGAAAAGATTATTGCATCAGAAAGACTGCTAGATCTAAATAACTCAATGAAAATATCACTATTTCTAAGGGAATTTCTCATCACATTCTTCTAATAGGAAATAACATTTAACTCTATAAAAATAGGGAACGCAATGTATGAGCAAAACAACCCCCTACCCTCAATATACAACTTTTATTAGAAATTGTTAGGCCAGTCATGGTGGTGCATGCCTAATCGCAGCACTCAGGAGGCAGAGGCAGGTGGATCTCTGGTTTACATAGGGAGTTCCAGGACAGCTAGAGCTACAGGGAGACCATGTCTCAAAAAGAGCAAAATAGAAAGAAAAAAAAACGTTAATTTCTGAAATTGTATGCTACTGGTCCAGTCATAACTGAAAGTTAAATTATTCCTAGATATTAGCTGGTGCTGAGCTATTGCATGTAGTAGCCAGTAGCCACAGATAGCTAAGCAAGCACTAGAAATGTGATTAGTACCAATTAAGAGGTACTATAAGAGTAAAATAAAGTCAGGTGTGGTGACGAAGGCCTTTAAGCTTAGTACTCAGGAGCTAGAAGCAGAACTCTATATGAGTTCAAGGCCATCCTGGTCTACATAGCAAGTTCCAGGCTACCCAGAGATACATGGCTCAAGATGGTCTCAAAAAAAAATAAACATCTGGGCCTGGTGGTGCACGCCTTTTAATCCCAGCACTGTGGAGGCAGAGGCAGGCAGATCTTTGGGAGATTGAGGCCAGCTTAGTCTATATAGTGAGTTCCAGAGCAGAGACACCCTATCTCAAAAAGACCAACAAGAAGAGAAAGAATAAAATATACACAGGAAACTGGGCATCATGATGCATGCCTGTAATCCCAGCACTGGGAGGCTCAGGTAGGAGTTTTATGCATTCAAGTTCAGCCTGGGCTACACAGCATCAAATTCTGATATAAGACAGTCTGTACTATGATTTAACTTTCATTTTAAAGCTCCATCATCATTCAACAGAAAGTGAACAAGAAAATAAAACCTAGAAAAGAAAAAATTTGTCCATGACATTAACATTTGAAATTAAAAGCATTCAAAACACAGGTGTCCAAGAAGAAATGAAACTTTTCTAAAAGTAATATAATCTTCATATCCAAATGCCTGTTAATTGCTTTAGAAGGTAGTTTTGCTTGGCCTGAGGAAACTGAGGTGTAGATAATTATGCGCTCAAGGCTAGCTCATAAGAGGTTTTTGGCTTGGGTTTTATTTTTGTGGAGAGATTTCACTATGTAGCTCATGCTGATTTGAAATTCATAAGCCTCCTGCCTTAGCACCTGGTGTGCTGGGATTATAGGCATACGCCACCATCCAATATCCCACTTGATTTCTGCCTGTTTTATAATAGGACTAGGAAAGCCAAGAATAATGACTAAAGATTACAGTTCAGACAGAGGAAATGAGCAATTGAAGCAAAATCAGATAAATACCACTGAGATTGTCTTTTGGTGAGAGAGAAAGAGAGAGAGGGAGGGAGGGAGAGGGGAGAGAGAGAGAGAGAGAGAGAGAGAGAGAGAGAGAGAGAGAGAGAGAGAGAGAGAGAGAGAGAGAGAGAGAGAGAGAGAGAGAGAGAGAGAGAGAGAGAGAGAGAGAGAGAGAGAGAGAGAAACAGAGACAGAGACAGAAAGATTTTGTTTTTATGAGATAGGATCTCACTATGCAGCCCTGGCTAGCCTGGAATTCATTATGTAGACCATGCTGGCCTCATGCTGGCTTCAAACTCATGGAGATCCACCTGCCTCTGCCTCCCAAGTGCTGAGATTAAAAGCATGTACTACTGCACCCAGTTATGTGTTATTTTTCAATGGCTATTATTTTGTCTTTTTAAAAAACGAAGTCTAGTTTCTACAGTTGGATGAGAATGTCAAATCATCATTCTTTCAGTAATTAAAAAACAGCACAATCTCCAAAGGATTTTTTTCCTGCTAAGGCTTCTTTTCTGAATGAGTCTCTCTTTCTTTATATATAGTTAACTATTAAGCAATAAAATGACCTCACAAAATCCGATTTTTACTATATTCTTACAGTCCTCCATGACCAAGTTAAGGAAGGAGTATTTTCTCAATCTTAATTAAAATATCTGTTATCACCACTATATGAATGCCCAAATGAAGAAGAAAATACCAATTACAGGCAAGAATGTAAAGCGATTGAGAATTGCAGGTACAGCTGGTAGGAATATAAATTGGTGCCAAAATCTAGGGAGCTCTTTGTTCTATTTAAATTGAACGATACACAAGCCCTGTAAACTAGCAGTTCCACTCTTTGGCACACACACAATACATACAAAATAGAGGGCTGGGGAGATGGCTCTATCAGTCAAGTGCCTGCTGTACAAGCAGATGACCTGAATTCAGATCCCCAGCATTCACAAAAAAAGGGTGTAGTCACACTATCTACACCCTAAACCAGGGGGAACAGAGAAAGGAGAATGAGACTGAGCTAGTTACTACTATCCACACTATCAGTCTGTACATAATTGAGACTTTTATCTTTTTTTTTTTTTTTTTTTTTTGTCTTTTTGAGACAGGGTCTTCCTGTAGCCCCGGCTGTCCTGGAACTCGCTATGTAGACCAATCTGGCCTCGAACTCACAAAGATCCGCCTGCTCTGCCTCCCAAGTGCTGGGTTTAAAGGCGTGCGCTACCACGCCCGGCTTGCTAGAAGAATCTTCTTAAAACATGGCATACATGTAACAGAGTGTGGATAAGTTAAGTACTACAATGGAATTTGTTCATTATGCCATAGTTGCTCTTAAAAATGCTGATTGGGAACATGAAGTCTTACTTGGAAACGATCATTATGTAGCTCTGGAACTTGTTGGAAACAGTCATTATGTAGCTCTGGAACTTGTTCTGTAGACTGGGCTGACCTTGAACTAACAGAGATCCTCCTGCTTGCTTTCTGAGTGTTTTGCCAGGTTTTGAAGTTGAGAATTCTACATGCATTTTGTTTTTGTTGTTCAGTCTCTTCATATTTATTGTAAGCAAACTTATTTTTAGATAAGAAATAAAAGCCAACCAAGTATAAAAGATAAAGTGAGTTCAAGGCCTACCTGGTCTACATAGTGAGTTCCAGGACAGCTGGGGCTACAGGGAGACCCTGTCTCAAAAAGACCAAAAAAAAAAATTCTCCTGGCAGGGGCTGGAGCAGTTAAGAGCACTGGCTGCTTTTGTAGAGGACCTGAGTTCAGTTCCCAGCACCCATCCACATGGCAGTTAACAGCTTTCTGTAACTCCAGTTCCAGGATAACCAACACCCTCTCTGACCTCCATGGGCACTAGATGACACAGGTGCACTTAAGCATATGTAGGCATTATACTTATACACATAAACATATATTTTTTTTAAAAAGATTATCCTGGTATTTCCTGTTGTCTCTGCATCCTTCAGCAGCATGTACATGTTCCATCTCACCTACTAATATCATATATTCAACAGGCAGGGAACGCTGCAGGGTGCTTTTTCATTCTACTCTTCCATGTTCTGAGGAGGCTATCCCATGTACTCTTAAGAGTTCACAAGTTACACTCAGATGGGAAAGAGCTTTAAAAAAATTATAATCCTATGAGTTATAGTATTTACCCTCCCAGACTATTTTAAAAGAACCACAGAGTAAGCAACCTAGAAGAAGGAAGCCTAGTCCTTTTAGCAGGGGAAGGGAGGTTATTTTGGGTAGCACTGGTTAAGAGTGAAGGATTACATGTAGGTATCCTAAGTAGCTTTGGATACATGTTCAGGAATACATATGCATGTTAAAACTAACATTCATGAAAAACCTCAGGACCAAGAACTCAAAGATCATTTATTTATATTATGAAGTTAAATATGAAGAAAGACATGGCTTCCATATCAACAATTTTATTTCACCGATAGAAGCAGTACAGTAAATGTAATTCTATTTCTGAAAACAAATATTTTAAACGGTTCAAATTAAAGTTCTCCCAATGCCTTAAAAACAAAGTCAAAAACAAAACAAAAACTTGGAAAAATTTACAGGTATGGATGTATGACAAACTTAACAAACAGTAAAAATTATGTATCAATAAATCTTAAGAAACAAGTGACCAGCTGAGCATGGTAGTGCACACCTTTAATTCCAGCACTCCAGAGGCAGAGGCAGGAACATCTCTGGGAGATCGAGCAGAGATCAATCTGGTCTACCTATAGCGTTCCAGGCCAGCTGGGGTTACAGGGGAACATTGTCTCAAAACAAAACAAAGAATAAGTGCCAATATAAGCCAGAATAGTGGGCATCTTGGGCAATAAAGGTAGATACTGACCAGATTATGAAGAGATAATTCTAGAATGCTTGTAACAATTTGGGTGGTAGATATGTGAATGTGTTTTTGTTAAAACTCATCAAACTGGAGGCTTAACAAATATTTGCACCTTTCTAAGTAAGCTCAATAAATTCACTGGTTCCCCAGTAAAACTTTAATCAAACATTCGCTTGACACTAGAACCTTAAAAGGGAATAAGCATTGCTTAGCATCCCCAGGAAAAGAAGTCTCACAGCAGATGGAAAATTTATTTATTAATGCTATTATGTCTCACAATTATTTAAAAAAAAAATAAAGAAAGAAAATGAGAATGTAAAAGATGCTAAAAGGATATGGGAAATGGAGATATTTCCAAAATAGAAAAAATGAGAAAGCCTAAGCAAGTGATAAAGGTCTGTTGAGGTTTGTTATGATACCTAAAGGATGAAACAAAAATGATATACACATAATCTTAAAATTTCTATGGTCATAGTTTAGTCAACTACTTTAAGGAGCAAAATATATATCTAGTCAAGGTTTATCTGAGAATATTTGGTTTTTTACCCAAGCCTACATAGCACATGATAATTAAAAGTACCAGACTGGTGGAAACTAACCTTACTGGATGTTTAACAGCCATAGTTTGAGGCCTATACTAATGTGGTCAGAGGGACTGAAAGGACAGGTTTTGTTCCCTGCCCTCCAAGGTCGACTAAGTTCCAGGGGACTACGGAACATCTCTCAAAAGGTCCTGTAACTGTGGTGAGTCACCTGTCCTCTTGTTCAGGGAGGACATGGAGACCCCACAAGATGGACGTGAACCAGTGTCCAGTCTACAAAGAGGAGGATCAACTCAGAGGAAACATCTCATTCATGCTTTCAAGTGAAGCCAGACATGGTCGAGCAGGACTCATATGAACATCTGAAAATTGTCCTGTTCTTTTTTCTAATTCTCTGGCTAGGACTTGTAATGCTAATTACTCTTGCCTTTATTTTTCCTTCACATTTCCTATTCACGATTCAAGGACTTTCTTTTCCCCTTAGAGATAAGAGTTATGCAATTTGGGAGTCTTTTAGATAGACCCACTGAAGGGGTATTCCAATTGCCTCACCCTGTGTCCCTGTTCAGCATGGAAGAAGCCAGAGCAGTCTGTGTCCCTATTCCCTATTGGCAATTTGGGTAGCCTCTTCAGAGGATGGTGTGATAAGAATAGGTGGTAGGAATTGGCTAGGCAGTTAGGGTAAAAAGACCCCAAAGACAAGTAGCCAGTTTCTTGGCTAAAAGTCAAAATGTCCTTGGGCCTCTTAGCAACAACATACTCTGTTCCAAAGGCCAAAAATGTTGAAAGTATTTGGGAATTTCTATCTAATCCTTAAAAGATTTTAGGGTTACCTCTTCAGAGGGGGGAATGTTGGAGGGGAGGGAGTGGGTATGGATTTGATCAAAACACCTGATATGCATGTATGAAATTCTCAATAAATTATTTATTTAAAATAAATAATTGTGTGACAATGAGAGCAAGGTTTTCCTTGATATCTCACTTACCTTTTGGTATGACTGCGAGGGAGTGGGCATGGATTTGATCAAAACACCTTATATGCATGTATGAAATTCTCAATAAATTATGTTTAAAAAAAAACCCAGTATTTGCACCTTTCTAAATGTCATACGTCAAGACTCACGTTAAAAATCAGTGGTAAACACCTATAATCCCAACACCTGGAAGGCAGACCCAGTAGGATGCTAT